ATTGTTACTGAGGGACACAGAATTTTACTGAGGGACACAGAATTGTTACTGAGGGACACAGAATTGTTACTCAGGGACACAGAAATTGTTACTGAGGGACACAGAATTGTTACTGAGGGACACAGAATTGTTACTGAGGGACACAGAATTGTTACTCAGGGACAGACACAGAATTGTTACTCAGGGACAGACACAGAATTGTTACTTAGGGCCACAGAACTGTTACTTAGGGCCACAGAACTGTTACTTAGGGCCACAGAATTGTTACTCAGGGACACAGAATTGTTACTGAGGGACACAGAATTGTTACTGAGGGACACAGAATTGTTACTCAGGGACAGACACAGAATTGTTACTGAGGGCCACAGAATTGTTACTAGGGCCACAGAATTGTTACTTAGGGCCACAGAAACTTTACTCAGGGACACAGAATTGTTACTCAGGGACACAGAATTGTTACTGAGGGACACAGAATTGTTACTGAGGGGACACAGAATTGTTACTGAGGGACACAGAATTGTTACTCAGGGACAGACACAGAATTGTTACTGAGGGGCAGACACAGAAATGTTACTTAGGGCCACAGAACTGTTACTTAGGGCCACAGAACTGTTACTTAGGGCCACAGAAACGTTACTCAGGGACACAGAATTGTTACTGAGGGACACAGAATTGTTACTGAGGGACACAGAATTGTTACTGAGGGACACAGAATTGTTACTGAGGGACAGACACAGAATTGTTACTGAGGGACAGAACAGAACTTGTTACTTGTTAGGGCCACAGAACTGTTACTTAGGGCCACAGAAACGTTACTCAGGGACACAGAATTGTTACTCAGGGACACAGAATCGTTTAATTAAAGAGTATGTCAGACAACATGCAGAGGAGTGGCAGAGGAGGCAATGTTTTAGGAGCGAGCAGACGTGGCAGCAGAGGAAGGGGTCGAGGCAGCACTATTCGCAGCCAGAGGCTAGTGCTCCCGGTGTCATCCAGTACAGTGAGGAAGAGCTAACAGAGGGCGGTCAGGACGGGGGGAGACATCCGCCTCTTCAGCAGCCAGGCGAAGAAGTAGTGGCGAGGAGAGTGGCTCGGTAGCCGGTGTAGAGACAGGTCTGTCTCCTGACCCACACGCAGCCGAGGGGGCTAGTAGTGAGGCGGAGACCCTAATTGATGATGATGAGGCTGATCGCACTTGGCAGCCTCGTCGTCATCAGGCTATTGCTTCCGCATCATCAGGAGAAGAGGGTGGCAGCTGGCAGCGAGCAAAACAGTCGGTGGGTTGTCTCCATCGCCACACTCTGCCATGTGCCACTTTCAGGTCTCCTCACACACACTGCTGGTGTGTTGAATTTTTTGACATAGGGTGCTGGCAGGCCCCTTACGGGCCTCCCATAGCTGCTGCCAGGCCCCTAATCTGCCATGGGCCCCTATACCGCCTCCGCCTCATGCTGCTGCCAGGTCCACAGTCTCTCATGCCATGTGCCACTTTCAGGTCTCCTCACACACTGCTGGTGTGTTGAATTTTTTGACATAGGGTGCTGGCAGATTACGGGCCTCCTATAGCTGCTGCCAGGCCCCTAATCTGCCATAGGCCCCTATATACCGCCTCCTCATGCTGCTGCCAAATCCAGAGTCTCTCATGGGTCCCTGTACGGCCTCCCATTGCTGCTGTCTCCATCGCCACACTCTGCCATGTGCCACTTTCAGGTCTCCTCACACACTGCTGGTGTGTTGAATTTTTTGACATAGGGTGCTGGCAGATTACGGGCCTCCCATAGCTGCTGCCAGGCCCCTAATCTGCCATGGGCCCCTATATATACCGCCTCCTCATGCTGCTGCCAAGTCCAGAGTCTCTCATGGGTCCCTGTACGGCCTCCCATTGCTGCTGTCTCCATCGCCACACTCTGCCATGTGCCACTTTCAGGTCTCCTCACACACTGCTGGTGTGTTCAATTTTTTGACATAGGGTGCTGGCAGATTACGGGCCTCCCATAGCTGCTGCCACAGGCCCCTAATCTGCCATGGGCCCCTATATACCGCCTCCTCATGCTGCTGCCAAGTCCAGAGTCTGTCATGGGTCCCTGTACGGCCTCCCATTGCTGCTGTCTCCATCGCCACACTCTGCCATGTGCCACTTTCAGGTCTCCTCACACACTGCTGTTGTGTGTTCAATTTTTTGACATAGGGTGCTGGCAGATTACGGGCCTCCCATAGCTGCTGCCAGGCCCCTAATCTGCCATGGGCCCCTATATACCGCCTCCTCATGCTGCTGCCAAGTCCAGAGTCTGTCATGGGTCCCTGTACGGCCTCCCATTGCTGCTGTCTCCATCGCCACACTCTGCCATGTGCCACTTTCAGGTCTCCTCACACACTGCTGGTGTGTTCAATTTTTTGACATAGGGTGCTGGCAGATTACGGGCCTCCCATAGCTGCTGCCAGGCCCCTAATCTGCCATGGGCCCCTATATACCGCCTCCTCATGCTGCTGCCAAGTCCAGAGTCTGTCATGGGTCCCTGTACGGCCTCCCATTGCTGCTGTCTCCATCGCCACACTCTGCCATGTGCCACTTTCAGGTCTCCTCACACACTGCTGGTGTGTTGAATTTTTTGACATAGGGTGCTGGCAGATTACGGGCCTCCCATAGCTGCTGCCAGGCCCCTAATCTGCCATAGGCCCCTATATACCGCCTCCTCATGCTGCTGCCAAGTCCAGAGTCTCTCATGGGTCCCCTGTACGGCCTCCCATTGCTGCTGTCTCCATCGCCACACTCTGCCATGTGCCACTTTTTCAGGTCTCCTCACACACTGCTGGTGTGTTCAATTTTTTGACATAGGGTGCTGGCAGATTACGGGCCTCCCATAGCTGCTGCCAGGCCCCTAATCTGCCATGGGCCCCTATATACCGCCTCCTCATGCTGCTGCCAAGTCCAGAGTCTGTCATGGGTCCCTGTACGGCCTCCCATTGCTGCTGTCTCCATCGCCACACTCTGCCATGTGCCACTTTCAGGTCTCCTCACACACTGCTGTTGTGTTCAATTTTTTGACATAGGGTGCTGGCAGATTACGGGCCTCCCATAGCTGCTGCCAGGCCCCTAATCTGCCATGGGCCCCTATATACCGCCTCCTCATGCTGCTGCCAAGTCCAGAGTCTGTCATGGGTCCCTGTACGGCCTCCCATTGCTGCTGTCTCCATCGCCACACTCTGCCATGTGCCACTTTCAGGTCTCCTCACACACTGCTGGTGTGTTGAATTTTTTGACATAGGGTGCTGGCAGATTACGGGCCTCCCATAGCTGCTGCCAGGCCCCTAATCTGCCATGGGCCCCTATATACCGCCTCCTCATGCTGCTGCCAGGTCCAGGTCCAGGCGAATGTAGTCACACACAGGGGAGGAACTTCTCAGTGTAATGAACAGAGAAATCGACAGATGGCTGTCTCCGCGCAAACTGAAAATCGGAACCATGTTGACCGACAACGGAAAGAACATGGTGTCTGCTCTGCGTCAAGTAAGGTTGTGCCATGCGCCATGCATGGCTCACGTGTTCAATCTGGTTGTCAAGCGGTTCCTAAAATCCACCATCCCACTGCAAGACATCCTTAAAATGTCACGTAAACTTTGCATGCATTTCAGCCATTCCTACACCGCAAAGCACACCCTCCTTGAGCTGCAGCGGCAGAACGGAATTGCAGAGCATCGCCTGATCTGCGACGTTGCAACAAGGTGGAATTCAACCCTACACATGTTAGACCGCCTTTACGAACAGCGAAAGGCCATCACCGATTTCCTGATGTTACAAGCGGATAAAGGTACTCCCCTGTGTAACTTCGATGTCAGCCATTGGCAGCTCATGCGTGACACCTGCCGCTTGCTCAGGCCCTTTGAGGAGGCCACGCTATTCGTGAGTCGGCAGGACTATGGGATGAACGACGTCATTCCTCTGTTGCACGTCCTGGAAACAAATGCTGTTAATAATGGCTGGTCAGGGTGCGGTAGACGTGGCGCACAGATCTCAACGCCACATGACCCCTGTGGGGGCAGGACAGGAAGAAGAGGAGGAGGTAGAGGAGGACATTTGTGCTCAGGAATTATTGAGTGAAATGGGTGGTTTTTCCACTCAGCGGACAGGAGTGGAGGAGCAGGAGCATCTGGTAGAGGAGGAGGAAGAGGAGACAGAGGACCCAGACGCACCGTGGCAGTATGCTGTGGAGATGGAGGCAGGGAGTCCCTCGCATTCCTTGGCACAAATGGCCCATAGCATGCTCGCTTGCTTGCGTAGCGACAGCCGAATAATAACCATCAGACAGAGGGATGACTTTTGGCTGTCCACCTTGTTGGACCCTCGCTACCGTTCCAAAAATGGTGGCCTTTTTCACACCTGCTGAGAGGGAGGCCAAAATAACGTACTATAAAAACCACCTATGTAGTCAGCTGGTCTCTGCCTGTCTGCGCCAACGTCCATCCTCAGACACTGTGGGCCCTGTGCGCTCGCGTTCCGCTGCCATGGCAGCAGGGGAGGGGTGGGGTGGTAGGAGCAGTGGCAGCTCCACCAGCAGCAGCTGCCTCAGTCTGCAGTCGATGATGAGTAGCTTTCTTCACCAGCGCAGTGAGGAAACTAATAACCAGCCGCAGCAGCAGCAGCAGCAGCATCAGGTGGACCTGGAGCAGGACCTCAAACAACAGGCTTAGGCCTACTTGGACAGCACCCTGCCAACCGAGGTAGACAATCCCCTTGACTACTGGGCAACGAAACTTGACCTTTGGCCCCAACTAGATGAATTTGCCCTTGAAAGGCTGTCATGCCCGGCCAGTAGCGTGGCATCGGAGCGCGTGTTTAGTGCGGCAGGAGGTATTGTAACTCCGCGGAGGACACGACTGTCCACCCAAAGTGTGGAGAGACTGACGTTTGTGAAAATGAATCAGGCGTGGATTAGTCTGGATTTCAAACCACCAGTTCCTGACACAACTGACTAAATCCGCCATGAATCATGCCCAAACATGTGCCACTTTCAGGTCTCCTCACACTGCTGGTGTGTTCCATTTTTTGTCATAGGGTGCTGGCAGATTACGGGCCTCCCATAGCTGCTGCCAGGCCCCTAATCTGCCATGGGCCCCTATACCGCCTCCTCATGCTGCTGCCAAGTCCAGAGTCTCTCATGGGTCCCTGTACGGCCTCCCATTGCTGCTGTCTCCATCGCCACACTCTGCCATGTGCCACTTTCAGGTCTCCTCACACACACTGCTGGTGTGTTGAATTTTTTGACATAGGGTGCTGGCAGATTACGGGCCTCCCATAGCTGCTGCCAGGCCCCTAATCTGCCATGGGCCCCTATATACCGCCTCCTCATGCTGCTGCCAAGTCCAGAGTCTGTCATGGGTCCCTGTACGGCCTCCCATTGCTGCTGTCTCCATCGCACACACTCTGCCATGTGCCACTTTCAGGTCTCCTCACACTGCTGGTGGGTTCCATTTTGTCATAGGGTGCTGACAGATTTACGGGCCTCCCATTGCTGCTGCCAGGCCTGTAATCTGCCATGGGCCTCCGTACCGCCTGGTCACGCTGCTGCTGGGGTCCACAGTGTGACATGGGTCCCTGTACCGCCTCCCATTGCTCCCACTCTGCCATGTGCCACTTTGAGGTCTCCTCACACTCCTGCTGGTTTCCATTTTGTCATAGGTTGCTGTATGGCCTCCCATTGCTGCTGCCTCCACCGCCACACTGTGGCTCCAAACACTGGTTTTGGCCCCGTGACTGGCCAAATGAGTGAAGTGTGCGGTGATTCTAAGATCGACGGCACTCATCTGCATGTCATACTGACTGACAGTATTATTTCTCTTCCCCAGCAGACTCCAAGGGCATTTAAATTAAAGGTACAGTGTTCTGCACTAATATTAAGTCTCTCTGAAGCCTAGAAACACCCTTTTTTAAGTTAAATTCACAGCGAATATATTCGAATCGAATCGAATATTGTCCACGAATTCGCCGAATCAGTCGAATCGAATTTTTGAATACTTCGCTCATCTCTAATTGGGACCATTTCTACTGCCAATGACTATAGTCCAACCCCTCTAAAGTCTGAAGGACAGTAAACTGTCTCCAAACGTTATCTAGGAAGCTTGGAGACCCCTAATCTATAACATTGGTGATTATGTGAAGTTCACGTACTCACTGGTTACCTTCCCATGCAGTTCCTAGGGCCTAGAAAAAAAAGGAAATGGGAAAATGCAAAAAATATATATACTGAAAAGGTATAAAAGGATTGTCTATCATACATCAAAAGCAGCTAAAAATTCAGTTAATTTTTTTGGCTCCATTTTTTTACAATAAAATAATATAAAATCTTTTAGAAAGTCAAAACCATAGTTAAGAATAAAGACTTTCCTACTTTGGGGGGTTACCAACTATGGACCAGGCAGAAAGTCACAGAGATCCTGAAAAATAAATACTTTTTTTTTCTAGGAAAAAATTATCTTTTGACAAGAAGTTGCCATCCATACCACTGGCTACATTCAAACCTCTGCCTTCTCTTCACGTGTTGCATTTGCAAAGTAATGCATTTTGCCAGAAACTGTACCAAAAATGTAGTATTCAAACTTCAATAAGTCCCAAAATAAAAAAGAAAAATTTGAAATAAAAGAAAATGACATTTTTTACGGTAAAAAAAATGTGCATTTTATATTTTTTGTTTGTGGAGCCTCTCAAGCATTGCACCAGCTATCAGCAGATATTTAAGCAGATCACTGGTGCCAATCAGGTCTTCCCCTGACCGGTCAGTATATCAGTTCGCTTGTACATCCCAGACAAACAAGTAGATACTACTGACAGGAAGGCTCAATGAACTACCATGGAACTGTGGAGCTGTAAAGAAATCTACAAGTTGACAACCGCAAAAGATTCCAGGACCAGGGGTGGACTGACCATTTGGAAACTCGGGCACTGTCTGAGGGCCTGGGGTCAGTAGGGGGCCCCATGAGATGCCCCTGGTACCTTTTTCATAGGCTTTTTTGAGTTTGGGCAAGGACACAGGGGCCCCATGATCCCTATAGCCATGAGTTGTCAGTCCGCCCCTGTCCAGGACTTGTAGTTTTCCCACTCACAGAATTCTGTGAATGAATGATTCGGCCGAGCAGGCCGAGGTCCTCAAGACCATGTTTTGTTTGTTTTTTTTATTATGACAGCTAGCAGGGAGGAGAAGATCCCCAGCTAGCTGTCACAGCGGGGATCGGGGGTGCGGGGGAGGCGGTCAGATCGTAGCATGTTACATGCTACACCCTGAATATAGGTGTAACATGTTACGAATGATGAATTTATCCTTTAAGAGTGGCATTGCAAAAATGGTGGTGGTCCAATATATGTAGAATAAACATATTTAGTTTGTATTGAAACAGCCATATAAGCATTCATTTGCAAAACCAAGGGCATTAATATGGAGTTGACCTCCCATTTGCAGCTATAACAGCCTCTGTTTTTCTGGGAAAGCTTTACACAAGATTTTGGAGTGTGTCTGTTGGAATTTTGTATTCAGCGAAAAGAGCATTTGTGAGGTCACATACGGATGTTGGACAATATTTGGCTCACAATCAATGTTCCAATATATTTTAAATAAATAGGGATGAGGTCAGGACTGTGCAACCCACTCAAGTGCCTCCACACCAAACTCATCAAACCATGCCTTTAAGGACCTAGCTTTGCACATAGGTACACATTCAAGCTAGAACAGAAAAGAACTTTACTCAAACAGTCTAAAATGGTTTCATACTGTATTCAATAGTCTTAAGATTACCCTGGACTGGAAACACCTGAACTCAATCATTTCGATGTGTGTTCATCTACTTGTGGCCATATAGTGTAAAGTGGACCTAATATCAGATATATTTCATGTTAAGTACAGGCATGGCAAGTAACCTGTAAGTTTGACATATGCGGTGTGACAGTAGGCAGGTGAAATCACCTGGTTGCGTCCTGGATGGACGATACATTTGTCCGAGGTTCAGGCTTTATGGGGATTTTTCCCACTAGAGGGAAGTGCTGAGTCCTTCAGCACTGAGGTAATGAGCCCAGCTGAAGGTAGTGGGCTCATTAAGACCTGTATAAAACTTCCCAGAGTGCTTAGGGAGTTGCTCCAACCTGGAACCAGATCTGTGTCTGAACTGACTGGGGAGCTGACATCTTATCTGTGTGCAGAGAGACCAAAGCCTGTTTGGCTAGCCTCCAAGTATTAGCAACTAGGTATAGCAGCAGGCTGTACCTAGTGGGTAGCTAGGGAAAGCTGTTGTTGCAGTAAGTAGCCAAGTTGGCCAGGATTTATTTTGATGTTTCTTTTTGGTTTACCATTTTTCTGTAAATATTGTAAATAAATTGCACCTGTTTGTTTTCACCTCCACTGTTGTTGTGCTGTGCCTGTCTTTTTGTGTTGTGCACCCATCCAGGGGGTCACACACACCCGCTGCCGAGCTAACCCCGTTACAGTGGGTATTTACTTTTTCTGAAGATTTTACTATACTCACGTTCCTAACCCCAGAAACCACTAAACAGCTCATCCACTCCCTCATCATATCACGACTCGACTACTGCAACTCCCTCCTCACTGGCCTGCCTTGCCGCTGGCTATCCCCGCTTCAGTCGATCCTGAATACGGCTGCCAGACTCATTCACCTTTCCAACAGCTCCATCTCCGCCACCCTCCTCTGCCAATCCCTCCACTGGCTTCTGATTGCGCAACGGATCAAATTCAAAATCCTAACACTGACGTACAAAGCTGTCCACCATACTGCCCCGTACTACATCTCTGACCTAATATCCAAGTACCACCCAACACGCACACTCCGCTCCTCACAAGACCTCCTTCTCTTTAGTTCCCTGGTCTCCTCCTCCCATGCCCACCTCCAGGACTTCTCCAGGGTGTCACCCATCCTCTGGAACTCCCTGCCCCAACCCATCAGATTATCACCTACTCTTCTCTCCTTTAGGCGCACCCTGAAAACCCATCTCTTCAGGGAAGCCTACCCCACCCTCTGCTAACCTGCCGACCTCCTCCACTCTTCCTACCACTCCATCCCCCACAGCTATCTCCTCCTGTACCACTATCCCCTCCCTCCTAGATTGTAAGCTCCAAGGAGCAGGGCCCTCGATCCCCTCATGTTCTGCATTGTATTGGTATTGTTCTGTCACATGTTCTGTCCCCCTTTGTAGTGTACAGCGCTGAGTGAACTATTGGCGCTTTATAAATACTGTATAATAATAGTAATAATACTCCCACTAACAATGCCTTCATTGTCTTTTTTTAGACTTTTTAGAATACAGTAGAAAACATCTGTTGTAATTCTCCGAGGTGGTGAGACAGTGCACTGGCTTGTAGTGTCTTCCAAACACCCAAGCAAACATATAGGTGAAAGAAAGCTGGCAGCTCAATCTTCTTCAATAACAGAATTTATTAATCCAGGTGTGTAACATGGCTTACGCATTTCGACATGTAGCCTTTATCATAGCCAATAGCCAGCTTTCTTTCACCTACATGTTTTCTTTGTAGAAGACCAATATTTTCTTGGCTAAGTTCTCCTTTGGGGACAGCATCTACTTCCTGGATTGACCACCTAGCTCGGAGATGACACGGAAATCAGGATGTCATGGATATCCTGGTGCCTATGCTGTTTTTGGCTCACAAACATTTCACACATATCAACCTTTGCTGATGCCTCTTGAATTGTGACTTGTTGTAGTTTATTCACGTGAGGAAAGGAGACTGTGGAAAAGATTCTTCCTGACTGAAGTGGGTTAATGACTTTGGTTTCCCAGACTCTACCATGGAATCTAAGCATGACAAAAGGCACTGCTTTAATGACAAAAGGCACTGCTTCTTAGAAAAAATATTACTGTTACTGTATATTATGATATGTAAAAGTATTTCTGCTGACTTATAAAGTTATTAAAATTTCCAGTTTACAAAACTGAACAGTATGAATGTTTTGTTTCACTTTTTTACATAAACTTTATTTAGATTTTCAGTGAAATACAATATCAAGAGAAATCAGCTTGGACAATCCACAAAGTAGAGTTGCACATTATGTTACAATCAAACTAGTATAAAAAAAATTCCATCCATAAAATTGAGGTCAGAAGTAGAACCACAGGAGAATACTACCAATGATGATAAACTCCACCGACTTTGAGGAACTCGCTCAAATTGTGCAAATAAAAGGAATTGACATGACATGCATGGCATGTATCATTTCCAGAGCAAATGAGATAAAAAAACAGAGATGAGTGAATAAGGTTAGAGGATAGGTTTCCAGAATCCAAACAAGTAAATAACATAAAGAAATGACACGTCAAATAAGACAGACTCTTCAGAAAGCTGTGTGGTGTTTACCTAATAGTACCACAGGTTTCTCAGCAGGAGTTATTGATAAAAGTAAAGTAATACAGCTTTATACAGATCCATCGTGGCTAGTACTGGTTGAAGAAGAGGTGGGGGCAAAATTGAGGACACAGTAAATGCGTTTAAAGCCGAAAAGCTATAATGAATCCAGGCAGCCCATATGACATAAAACGTTTCATACCTCCCTTTGCACATAGCTATCCATTTCTCAGCTACAATTATATCCAATACTTTCTTGATCCAGTCTGCTCTGCTTGGCACTTGAGGTCTCTTCCAGTAAAGCAGAATCAAGCACCCAGAGGCATTTAAAAGGTACGGTAGCACATTTTATTTTTATATAATGACTGATAGAAATGCTGGGTATGGGAAGTAGAAAATGTATTGGGAGCCAGGTAAATCCATATCTAAAATAGATTTAATCTGGGTCCTAATTTCGAACCAGAATGGACGAATACTGGGGCTTTCCCACCAAATATGTAAGAAGATAGCACAATGTTCACAACCCCTCCAACAAAC